GGCTGAGAGATCATGTAAAAAGTGTCCTTCTGCCAATAAAGGTCATCCATCAGGATAACTAAGGCTGATTCATTTCCATAACCAGACCTGAACTGGGATCGGGTCAAGATAATTGGTTTCAATTTCATCCTATAGTATTTGCAACGGTTCATGGTGGGCTTTTTCAGCTGTGGTTGGATCACCACCTCTTTCAAGGATCACTCTCTTCCGAAAGGATGTATTTACCATGTCCTGGTCATACCCCCTCAGCAATCTTTAATAAGTCAAGGAGAGAAGGAGGGTGGGGAGGAAGTTGCATTGCACAGCTAAAAGACCTTGCACTTGGGGAACTGTTCAGTTGGATATCATCAGTTGTTTTTATGATGTTACGTTAGCCACTCAAGGGGGTAAAACTCTTTTAAAGAATGACATACTATTCCTATAAATAAATATCTGAAAATGTCCTGAGACATTATTTTCATTAAAAAGAAAGAAACCCACCTGGATGCAGGATTATTAGACTAATTAGACCAAATTTAGAAGCAGATTTCTTTTCCAGGCTGGTACTTGGAGTCAGAACCCCAGTTAGAGCCAAGTCTCTGCATGGAAAGGCTGGAGGAAGAGACCAACCTCACACTCAGCCTTGTGTTCCCTACTCAGTCCCTTTATCAAGCAGATGCTTCTAGCCAGGTATTGAAAATGGTCCTGGCACAAACTTTGCCCTAAACCCCATTCATCTGACCCTAGCAGCTTTTTATAGGCAATTCAAACAGAGCAGATTGTTAATTACCCTCGTAAATCCCAGGAAACTGTGCCATATGACTGAAACATTATGCTTTCCTGGGAAATGGTGCTGTCAAATGTTGTAATAAGCTCAGAGTAGCAGCAGCTTGAATTAAATCTTGGTTGTTCTGTCGCTGGCTAATGCAATGGCACAGCATGACAGACTGGTTCCAAAGCCAGACTTCTAGAGAAGCCTTGGTTTTAAGTAGAGGGGAGGATGGAGCTAAAGCCTTTCACAATCTCATCCAAGTAAATGCACTCTTTTCAATGCCATAAGTGTATTAGCAGTGTCCTGAAAGAAGACAGAGAGATTTCTGGCATTGAAAAAGGAAGGATGGGGAACGATTTCAACGTTAAAATTGGTCATAATCTGTATATTATTCTTTTCCAGCATTTGTATACTGCTTTACACCACTGCGCTTACAAAGCAGTTTCCAATAACATTCAATAAAACAAACCATCAGTCAAAGTAGAAGAAGAAGAGGAGGAGTTTGGATTTGATATCCGTAAGGAGTCTCAAAGCGGCTAACAATCTCCTTTCCCTTCCTCCCCCACAACAAACACTCTGTGAGGTGAGTGAGGCTGAGAGACTTCAGAGAAGTGTGACTAGCCCAAGGTCACCCAGCAGCTGCATGTGGAGGAGCCGAGACGCGAACCCAGTTCCCCAGATTACGAGTCCACTGCTCTTAACCACTACACCACGCTGGTGTAGTGTGTAGTGTTTAATATTTTAAACTGTACATCACAGGTAAATTGCCATATACTTGACAAATAGTTATAACACTACAGCACAGCAAATGCTGTTCTTGGAGAGAGACAAGAAAGTTCACATCTATCTTCTTGATGTGGTGACCTCTAAACTCTCCATGACATCATCTCATCTGATCCCTGGCAGTTGATGCCATAGTTCCAGGCTCTTCCATCCAAAGGGAAGGGGCAGAAGGAGCTGCAGATGGAGTGTGGAGCTGGCTGATAATGGATGCCAGCACAAAAAATCAGTCCCCTCCATCAATCTTCAGAGTTTCCTGGTCCCTTGTTATTGATGACATACTCCAGCTTCCAAGTTCTTTTCTCCAGAAGTAGACTTCATATCAGGAGGTGTGTTTTCAGCCTGGATATTCAAGTGATGAGGCTTCTTTGCCATATATAGTTCATCACCGTTACTTGATTCTCGCTATGGTACATACAGGAACTTTCACTGCAGTCATGCTGTCATTCTGATATGTCCACGTCTGGTTTTGCATAAACCAGCTGCTTACAGATGCACTTTGGTGTCTGTTTCAGAGAACTTCAGAGCTGGAGAAATCCATCATTCAGAGTGACACTTGTGAAGAGAAAAGTCTGTCAGTGCCTAGGAAGCAAGGCTAAAGCCATCCTTTCTTTCTAGATGGGGCTGCCACATTTCCAGGTGAAACATCAAACAGGAACATAGGAAGCAACTTCATATTGAATCAGGCAGCCTACTGGTCTACCTAGCTCACTATTGTCTACTGACAACAGCTCTCAAGAGTTTCAGAAAGCAGTAGTCTTTCCAGATGTGCCAGGGACTGGACTTGGGACCTTCTTCATGCAAAGCAGCTGCTATACTACTGAGCTACATTCCTTACCCAAGTTAAGTTTAATAATGGTTGTGCCATTTGTACAGTTGACTACCGAGGTGAAAGCAGCTAGTGGCTACTTTGGGCTTGTCCACAGAGGAGCAAGGAGTAAATTCCATCCTAGTGATGTACCAGACCTTTCCCCGTTATTAATGCAGGACCTTTAAAAATCTTGGCCACTTTGGACTTTGCAAGGATAAAAAAAACCCCTCTCTGCATTCATGGGGATACAGAGCAGTGCAAATCTAGGCACACTTCTCTGAAGTCTCTCAGCCTCACTCACCCCACAGAGTGTTTGTTGTAGCCGCTTTGAGACTCCTTAGGGTAGTGATAAAGCGGGATATCAAATCCAAAACTCTTCTTCTTCTGGTTAGGAAAAAAAATGGCAAGTGAAATTCACACTCATGTTGATGTATTTATTTATTTATTTATTCAAAATACTTCTTAACCACATTGCATCTAAAGATTCCAGGATAGTTTATGAAAGGGTAGATAAAATTCAGTGATATAGAAAAATGCAATATTAAACCAAAAAATAAACTTAACCAAATAAATTTAAAATTCAAGCAAACCCATAGCTTAAAACAATAAAGCACAATGCAAAAACTGTAGATTTCAAATGCATTTTTCATAGCCAAGCATATATGCATTAGATCTATGCACAACGACTATTTCTCCCCTTTTAGTGTTTTCCAAGCACATTTATTTGAGAGGGTAGATTTCTTTGGAGATATTTTTAACGTGAATAATATTTTCCCTGAAGCATCAGTTGCTGGCTATTATTATGCACAAGACATTGGCAAAAAGGACCATCCATATGACATGACATAGTCTGGCAGTTCTCAGGTTCTTGTGACTTTCTTTTCTCTCTCTCCTCATGTCAGGATGAAAATAACTGTTGAAATCTCAGAATTTCCAGCAGGTCAGATATTCTATTTTCCAAGCAGCATGGGTTCTAGTGGCACTGGCAGCTCCAACTGTGTCTATCTCAGCAGAAGAGTGCCAGAAAAATAAGACACCAGGTTGATTTCCTGTTCCATAGTCTAGAGGAGAAGGAATCAGCCTCTACTTATGTATCATTTAGAAAATATTGTGGCTAGAGAGGCAGCATAGCATCTAGGTCATTTCAGATGGGTGTTTATTGTGGAATGAGTGCTCCTCATGCATTCACATATTTTTGCAGCATTCACACAATGCTGGTGGCATCAAAATGACAGTCTATATTCTCCCCTCCCCAATTTAACTGGGATTCTATCTTTCCATGGAAGATTCATTAACTAAAAGATAAACAAATCACTACCCGTTTGTGATATCTCAGTGGCCTGTTTGCAATTAAGCCCCCTTGTGGAAGCACCCTGTGCTTTTGATTTCTGCCTGTAGTTGCCAACTAAGATTTCACCTAAAGTTAAATCCAAAGTGGGTGTTGATGGTTTAAGACAGTGGTGTCCCAAACCTTTTTCAAAGAGGTCAAGATTTGATGAAGTGAAGGACCGTGAGGGCCGACCAAAGTTGTTTACTTTTTTTTTAGGATTGAAGTTGTTGAGCTTTTTTACGATTTTACCCCAGGAAATCAGCTGCCACAGGGGCTGGATTAAACCAACAGGTGGGCTGGATTAGGCCCCCAAAACAGACTGAAGGGAAGCCAAATGGTTTTTAGTGAGTCTAGCAAAATCTCTTAGGTAAGTTTCAGCCAGAGATGAGAAACCTGTGGCTTTAGAGATGTTGTTGGACTACAATTCCCATTATCCCTAACTATTGGGGCTGACTGGGGTTGATGTAGTCCAATGGCTCCCAAAATGTTACATGTCACCCATGCCTGATTTAAAGCATCTCTATATTGCCATTGGATCTGCCTCGAGCAGCATTCAAAGCTAATTTGGTGGTTCCTCTTCAGGTAGATTTTTTTTTAAGGGATGTCAAGGTAAAACAAAGATTTTTGGTATGACTAGCAGAATTTAATATTAAAAGGGAGGGTGGGTGAGGATTTGCGTATTCCTAAAACAACTTTCTGGCCCAGGTTTATATAGTGAAAAATACACAGATATAAAAAGAGCCCTGCTAGCTTAGACCAAAGTTCCATCTCATCAAGAACTTGGGAATGTGTGACCCATGAATTTGTCCAACCAGCCATCTAAGTTCATGATTATTACTCAGTTTTGTAGCAGTACAATATTTATTAATTATGGGTTATGTGAATACACATTTTATTTTATCTGTGCTGAAATAATTTCCAGTCAGTTTCACTGTGTTCTGCTATTATGGGAAAGGGTGGAAGAAATGTGCTCCACCCACTTACTTCATATGCATAATTTTATGATCTATATTATCTCCCACTTCGTTATTTCCCCCCTAAACTATAAAGCCCCAAATGTGCTAGCCTTTCCTCATAAGAAATATGGAGTGATAATCTTGTAGCTGCCATTTTGTGTTAGTATTGACATGCTCCTTTGATGAACCTTCTCCTTGACCTTGATGAACCTTCTCTCAACTTGAGACTTTGTCTGTCCTGGTATATCACAGCCAATAATTGTTACATAAACAGTGCAATCCTATGCTATACGCTTACTTAGAAGTAAGTCTCAGTGAGTTTAATGGGCTTATTCACAAGTAGGTTGGTCTAGGATTGCAGCCTAAGAAAATGTTTGGTGGGATAGCTCAGTTGGTAGAGCATGAGACTCTTTAATTTCAAGGTTGTGGGTTTGGGCCTCACACTGGGCAAAAGATTCCTGCATTGCAGGGGGTTACATTAGATTACCTTCATGGTCCTTTCCAACTCTACAGTTATATGATTCTAAGTACATACATTTTCCCAGTGGAACTATATTGTTATGAAGAACATGGTTTCATTCTGTAGGACTTCTGTGTAACAGAAAATGTCTAGTAGAAAACATTTGAAACACATAGAAGGCAGTCAGGCATCAAAGTATTTCTATATGCAGTGATTTAGTGCTATAAAATGCCAATGTAACTTGTTTTTACCCATGTCCGTTCTGGTCTGATGCCAGATCCTACCGTAAAGGCAGGCTGGCAGGCCATTCAGGAGTTATAGAACCACAGATAGCTCTGAGTGAGCAACTTGCTTTTTCATGTTTTAAAAGTTTTTGTGTGTTTAATTTTTTTGGCAAAGGATGTTTAGGTCTAAGAATTCAATAACTTGTGTATTGAGGTATAGCTCAATTTCTAAATAAGATGTATAGAATCAATCTTGTCTGAAAATCACGCCTCCACTTTGGAAGCTCTGCCCCTTTCCATAAATGAGCAGAAAATTACTGCTGCTTTTTTAAGAGAGACAGGAGACAATGGCACTCTGCACATGCGTAATGGTACCTTTTCCTAAATAAGTTCTGTACAAGTCCTATTGTGATGAAAACAGCAAAGCTAAAAATGGCAGCCCTATCAAGTCAAAGTGTAACCAGCTGCCACACAGCCGCTTGCATGTGGCGCAGAGATGATTGACCAGAAGATTATGTGACCCTTGGGCAGAAAAAGTTCCTCATCCTGATCTATTATATCAGTAAGTCACAAGATGCTGCTTTTCTGAGATACTTGCTACTGGCTTCTCTCTTCAGTTAGCTATTGCCTTCTCTGAATGGCCCTTAATCACAGGATTTCTGCCTGTGATTAATTAGCTGCCTTACTGCAAGCAATTATCAATCAGGAAGGTGCTAAGAGCTAATACCAGGAAGCTAGCTGGGATGATGTGAAAATAGCATGTTAGTAACCTTGTATATTGCTAAATGGGTAGCAAATGCTTAGGGGCAATTAGAATCCTGGAAGGATTCCATGAATATTCCAAAGGGGACACTCAAGCAATTTGCAAATTGTTGAAAAAGCAAGAAGAATTCCGCTCCTGGGGTTAAAATGCAAAGTTCTGTGAACACACACACACTTACTTAAATATGAGTTGGTTGCCATAAGGATGCTTGTAGGACTTATAAAATCATTTCAAATTTCCTCTCCCTCCCTTCAAGTCTTTTCTTTACAAGTTTAACGCAATGTAGTTTCCACGTGGAGGGAAATAATTTGTCTCTCCACACAGACACACAAACACACACCCGCGACTGCCCTGAAGAGCTAACTTAGCTAAGTAACAATCCTCAGTCTGCCTGGGACAATGACTTCTATATGGCATTCACTTCCATTTCAGGAGATAAGCATCAGCCCATCTGGAGATAGGCCTAACTTAAATGTAAAAATAGAAGCTAATTCCACAAGTGTCCAAAAAGCCTGGGTGCTTCTCCTCTGCTAGCTACGAAAGGCAGCTACCTTGTCAAGCTGTTGTCATAGTGGCCCAGCTCTGCAATAAAGGGCTTATGCCACTGATAAAAGTACCAGTTTGCAAAACTCATCAGTGCCTTTGCTGTGCAGTGTAGCCAAAGGGACCCTTTAAGATCAAATCCCACACCAAGCTGTAGTCTGAGGCCTATATAATCCCTCTTTTTATTAGAACACTAGACAAGTAATGTCTCCAGCATCTCATCGCCTAAGGCAGAGCTTTCCAAACTTTTCATGCTGGTGACACAATTTTTAGACATGCAGCATTTTGCGACACAGGAATTCAGTTTTATTAGCAAACCAGAGGTTAAACTAACCCCTTTCCAGCTCCGGGAGGAGTGCGAAGAGCATTCCCATGACACACGCGCTGCAGCCAACACACTAATATGTGACACACAGTTTGGAAAGCTCTTGGCCTAAAGATTCTCATGAACACGGGTGCTATTTCAGTAATTCCGAGACACCACACTAAAGCCTATCTAGGTTAACAGAATCTGTCATTCCAGGTGGGTTAATAATGAGACCATTTCCTTCATTTGATGCAGGTATTTTATTTTCAGTATAAACAGGACTCCATTTTTGCATCTCCCCCCACTTTTAATTGTTCTCTGAGACGTGGAGGGGAGAAAAAAGGAGAACCAGGACATTCCGGGATCAAATCAGAAACCGGGATGCTTCTGTAGTTCTGGGACTGTCCCTGGAATTATTATACCCCTGTCCCTGGACATACCATGACACTGTATGGTTTACCAGTATATGTTCTCAGTATATGAGTATGTCATCAACACAGCACTGTTTATATCGTATTGGCCTGAATATAAGTCTCGCTTTCCCCCCAAATTCCAACCATGAAAAGTTAAAGTGCGGCTTATATTCGCGACCTTGTGGTATGCAGCCAGGAGCGGGGCAAAGCGGCGCCTGCCCCATGCGTAGTCCCCCGTCCTCTCCCCCAAGGCTGGGAAGAGAGAGAGCAAGGAAGGGGAAAGGCTGCCGGCAACACTCCCCAAGTATGTAGTCAGGAGTAGCGAGGAATGGGTATTTTGGGGGGTATTTTTTCTTTTTTTCTCCCCCCCTCCAATCTTAAAGGTGCCGCTTATATTTGGGTGCGGCTTATATTTGAGCCAATATGGTAATACTTTCACGCTCCAATCCAACAGAGACACACTCTTAGCTTTACTGGCAATCAGTAGTTTGAGGCAGGGTTGAATTCAGCCCCCTGCTCATCTTTTTCTCCCAAACAGCTGATTGGCAAAATTTCAGCTTTTAAAAAAGGAGTGGGCATACGTAGCCTCAGCTGGCATGTGCAGTAGTTCCATAACTAAAAGGTGCACATAGATGACTCGTCGTTGTTTTAAAAAAATGGTTTAAAAATGTGTTTCAATAAAACCAATTGAAAGATCCCTGAACTATTAATGACTAAATGGTGACGGTCATTCTCCTTCCACTATTAAATCATGTAGGCAAATGTGATGCCAGAAGGAGAACAGAGGCAACACACACACACACCAAATACTTGATGTGTGCTCTGTTAATTTCTGGGGCCCTTTACTTGGCTACTTCCCCTTTACCTGCTCACAGGTGAATTTTTAGGTGAACACTACCTCCATCCACACAATGTGTGGCAATGTTCCACAAATCCACCTGTCATCACCAGGACTGTCATCACCAGGTCATCTTGTGATTGCAGTATGTACGGGTCCTGTATGATCTGTGGGTCTACAGTAAATGTACTCAGTTTGTATACCCAGGCTTTAGAGAAAGCCAAGGTCCAAAAAGGATTTCTGGCAGCTACTTAGTGTTATCTCACAAATAACACTGGGATAGGAAAGATAGCATGATGATAGTTCTTAGGCTGTAGGATAGGCAGTCTCTGATTTCAGAAGAGATGTTTGTCTTTCAATGAACAGGCTAGCAATGATTCTCAAACTATACTACCCAGATGGGATTGTCTTTCCTTTATATTTCAATTTATCCCAGTTTTTACTAAGTCACACTGTTTAGGGTCCATGATGATTTTCACTGTATTTTTTCCCCTTTAACAATAATCACATTTTCCTTTAAAAATATGAAGAAGAAAATGTTGCCCTAAAAATTTGGCTCTTTCAACACTATTGAACCCAGGAAAGTATGCTCGATCAGTGGATTATTCTGATTTATTTACAGTTTTCAGGGAGGGAAAAACAAGAAATAAATGCACTGCTTCAGAATTAATTTTCTAACTTTTTCCACCTGCTGTGTTCTCAAATACAGCCACCTGCTTTGCTGTGTAACTCTCATGATTCAATGTGCGAAGAGTTCAGCTGCCCTCTACAACATCTATACACAGTCTTGTTTATTGGCTTCTTATGTACAGGGCAAGCCACATATTCTACATTCATTAACTATCAACAGCTGCTTATACAGAATAAGTCATTTGTCATGGACAGTGCTCTTTTTTCTTAAAAAATGTTTAGGGGTACTCTCATTTTCCTACTTGTATTGAAATACTGCCTTTCAATGAGGCAAAACTTACCGTAGATCGGGGTAGTCAACCTTTTTATACCTACCACCCACTAATGCATCTTTCTTGATGGTAAAATTTCCTTACCGCCCACCAGTGCTCGAGGGAAGGAGGATTCAGCTTGTGCCGTAGAACCCCCTACCGCCCACCTAGAATCCTGAAACGCCCACTAGTGGGTGGTAGGGACCAGGTTGACCAGGTTGACAACCCCTCTTAGATTCACAAAGTGTTTAGGGGTATGTGTACCGCTGCGTACTCCCAGAAAGAAGCACTGGTCAAGGATGATAACAAATGAGGCTGCTTAAATTCTCAACTATTGCCAGGCAAAATGAATTTGCATCAACATGTCCACTAGAAAAAGTATGCATTCTATACATTTTAACAGCCTGATCCTATGAGCATTTACCTGCAAGTAATTTCAGTAGAGTTTAATAGATCATACTCAGAAGTAATATGAAAATTTCAGTTTTCAGTTCAGCTTAAACCCGACTAAAAACTAGTCTAGTTCATCAAAGCTAGATTGCAAGCTACAACTTAAAACTACGGGTAACTTGCCCTTTAAATAGTGTGTGGTGTTTAAGAAAAAAAATCAGGTAGAAGCTAGTTAGCTTTTAAAAAAACTATTAATAGCTTATAAAAATAGGATTCTCTCTCAGGAAGGAAGATATCTTCCTTAAGGACTTAATCCCCAGTGAACTCACCAGCCCACACTTAATCAACACTGCTTGCTCCCCATTCCCAGTGAATTAACTGACATCACTCCACCCTCCCCTTTGCAATTCTTATTTTCAGGAATTTGAGCCACACACCCTGACCTCATTGGTTGCAATAGTAACTGGGGAAAACTATCCAGGCATATAAATTTAGAACAATTTAGCAAGGGGAGCCTTCTACATGAGCCGCAGGGAACCCCAAATGGCAAAGCATTAAACAAAGTTAAGCA